CAAAACCGTCGGTAGACCATCTTATGACTGGTGGGAGAGAGATAGAAGTAGGAGAAAAGGGTTCAAAATTAACGAGGCAAGGAAAAACCACTTTTCCATTCCCTCCTGAATGCCGGAGGATGAAGTGCAAGTGGCATTGCATATTTGGTTACCCGAAACTCCGCCTCTTGCTACGACCCACGGGAGGGGTCCAACATCTTTCCACAACGTTAAGAAATTCAATTAATTGGGAAACGTGAATTCTCCAAGACTCCGAGAGAGCAACGTGTGCTATTTCTTAGCTTTCCATAATTTTATAAAGACTCCCTTTTAGACAGTACGATCTCAAAGTGCTAATAAGGCGCTGAAGGCACGCTTCAGTTCCCAAGAACTGGCGCTGCCCATTTCGTATTTCGTCAATGTCTCACTAAGTGACTCGCTGAACTTGTATGTACAAAGAATTTCGTGGAAAAAATTTAAAAATATTACCATTTATAGCAACATCTCCTGGGAACTGAAGGAAGAAGAGGTGGTAAATTAAAATGCACCAACTTGTGCACAGATTTCCCGGTATGGAAAAGGTATCCACCCTAATTTATAGCTGGTTAACGAAATCTATTAATAAGTAATTGGCGACTTAACGCTTCTCTTTATAACTCCAACCACAATTGAACAAAGTCAGAGAAATAGAGGAATAAATAGGTGGAGAGAGTGTGAGGCACGACCTCGGGCTCGAAGATATCGGGCCGGTAGAAGACACCTTTGCGATAAATAATCTCCTGAGAGACGATTGCAAAGCTATAGATGTCACCTTTGTAGGTGCCTCGAAGGTCACCCTGGTTGGGATACTGTCGCAGTAGCTCTGGAGCTGTCCACAGTTGGTCTGATAATAAAAGAAAAAAATCCTTTTAAATGTCACTCATCACTAATCCATCTTCCCAGCACCTCACTTTGATCATTTCTTTTGGCTAGTTAGAAGCCCATCATTGTCATCTCAGAACCATGCCTAAAACTTGTAACCAAAGAAACCGGTTTTCAAAGTCTATTCGAAAGTCAGCGGAGTATCCCTCTACGAAATCATAAAATAGCTTGCTCTCCAAATTTGTGGTTTTCCACAAAGTTATGCGTTAGAAAAGTCCTAGACAAATAGAAAAGCAATAAGCCTTGGACACTAAG